ACGTCGTGGCAAGGACAGCAAGCTTGTGCCTGTCATTGGCAAGAGAATTGAGCTCCACACAGGTGACAGTACAATTTCGCTCAGTTCCGTCCCCAATTTTGATGCGGAATACCCCAGGGAGAGCGGCTCCAAGGGTCTTCCACCCCTCTTCCCCTACTACCAACTTCTCGAGAGGACTTTCGTCTCAACGTATATTTAGAGTGCTTCCATGCCGCAAAGGCACTATACATTTACAAACATCCATGTCTTCTCCAAGTTTCGAAACCGGGCCCTTCGGCACCACAGTATGCCCCCCTAACCACTATATTGTCTGGGTGGCTCTTAAAGACATTCCTGACTCAGATCTCGCTCACAACGCCCAGTCGGAAGATAAGTAAAGTATAAGAAGTTTACGTCGCGGATTTAATGAAACGTGATTAGAAGTCTCCCTTATTTAGTAGCTTCCATAGAGAGAGAGGAATGTAAAAATGAAATTAAAAAAGAGCCTTATATGTAATTTTGAAAATTATTTATATAAATTGTTAAAAAATCACATTTTCAAAATTCATTCTAACTTAATAAGTAATAAGAAAAAGATTAAGACTAATTTTTAAGTCTTAAAACATATTTAATTAATATCTTATGACGATCACCAACTAGTAATTAATATACAATATAAAAAATACCTCATTTTAATCTTGGAATTTTGCATATTGAATAACATAACTTGATCTAAATTTAAGGCTATCATACACTAAAATTTTAATTCTTTATAATGTAAAAATCCTCCTTCGCTCATAAAATTTTATTTTGTCAAAAAATATACATTTGTTGGCTATACAAATATTGATTTTAATTAATTTAAAACAAAACTAATTTTAAGTAATTTAAAATTTTATAATTAAATTCACTGAGATTCTCATTTTCAAGTAATCGTTCAAATAATTGTTACTTAACCATGCTCTAAGGTATTACTTTACGCACATTACCCATTAAAAGCTAAGAAAAACGTTTAAATAACATCCCATTCGTTATATCCAGCATTGTTTTATCATCAACTTAAATTTTAAATAGGAACTTTCATTACAAAAACGACTACTAAGGTGTTCTAACATAAAAAGGAAGCAGAAATGATGCGAACAAAAGAAAAATACAAATTATTTTATGTACGAAAACGAAGTACATATTGGTAGCTGAACTCCTTATATTTTATACATTCTGAATATCCAGTGGTAGAACAACCAATGTATCATTTTAAATTTAAAAGTATCGAGGGTAGGATACAATGCGTTGAAGACTGATTATTTTCGGCCTCAGACTGGGGATGTGCGAGATTGATTGGGTTCCAACTGGGAGTAAGGGACTAGGGTCAGATTATCAGTTGCATCTACTTCTTAAATCCATTTTTTGAAGCAGTAAATCATGTAGTAAATAGTTTGTTCAAGACCCCGCAAGAGCAACTACTGCATCTGAAGTCTGTTTTCTTTGTCATTTTCGGCTCCAAGAAACCCTGAAGCGACTGATTTTAGATATACAAGCTTCCAGAGAAACTCGAATCAGCCACTCATATGCTGCACGATGTCTTCCTGAGATTGGATTTTATGCGAGAAAAACAATGGTTTTTATCCTTCTCACTTCATCTTCAAAAGGGGTCCTTTTAAAATGGTGCCCTCATTGTTCAACGAGATCAAGAAGAATTAGGCAGTGTACTACTTATTGACGAGTACAGCCTGAAATATAATTTTACCGCAATGGCTAATCGCACCGACGGTGCGAATAGCTGAGAGGCTATTCACACCGCCTACGTTCGCGCATGCGCACAATCAGCCCAGGTACCAGCATTTTACGCCGATTTCCGTAAGGCAGGCGGTAGCGAGAGCGAAGGTTGTTAAACCTAACTTAGCAATAGAAAGGGTTGTTAATAGTTCACCCACAAGAGAATATTTGCAAGTAAAATTTATCAGTTACAAGAGAGGTAATCTAATATATATAATTCAGGAAATGATTAGATAAAATAGGGATTTAATGATGGATCTAACTGCAAGCGAGGACGTGTAATTAGTTAAATTCTTTAATTTGACAAAAAACAAAAAGGCACAGAAATCACTTAAATATTTCATTTAACAGAGGAAATTTTATGCAAACTTACCCTAGTCTATAACAGACTGTCAAATTTTATTATTCAATAGAAAACTACTAAGAATTATATATTTATCACTTTTTCAGTATACATGCATGTTTATAGGTTCAAATGCCATATTTCAAAATCAAAGTTATTTATGAAATAAAACCTTATAAAATCTGATAAATCATTTGTGTGTCCGCAAATTTTAAAATCTAAATCTCTTACATTAAATTATTTCTGTCTTTTAAATTACATCCCATTATTTATTTCAATTTAATTTATTAATGTGTTTGTACTAATATTTCAAAGTTCTTTGAAATACTTTTTGTGTCCTGAAAATGCCAAGTATTTCCATTAAAAATAAACAGGCATAGAGAATTATTAATAACCAATATTATATGATTAATTATTCATTTAATAGTTGATTTGAAGAAGAATGAATTAAAGTCTTGATTGCACAAAACACATCTTTGAAGCTAAATGTATTCTAAGAAGTACAAAAATGTAAACAAGATTTTGTGCTCCCCACCCATATCAGTCATTCAGGAAAACGATAAACATTGCGAACATAAAAATCTGCCCTTTTTTATGTATGTATTTATGTAAAAGGAAATGTCTTCCTTCTTTTATAAGACAAGAAACTTATTTTCCTTTCTAAACTTCTGAAAGTCGCCAACGGTTAAAAAATGATAAACTACGCCAATAACCCGCCTTTTAAAGAAAAAGATTCACTACAACACTTAGGCAGTTCGCGTACGTAGAATCCGTTCTTTTCGATTGGGTTCAAATGATGGATCTGACAGCCATAATTTTACACGTGTTATGACATGGGACGTTCGAAAAACTCGCGACTTGCCCCTTCCTAATTTATAAACAATTCCTTTTTATACAAGCGTTTTCATGGTTTCGGGTGGATAATCAGTTACCTCACATGCATAACTTTAATGGGGATTCCGTAACCGATGAATGTACCTTAAATTCCTCCTGTAAGGCTGTTTAATGATGCTATTGGTCAAGGTTTTTTGGTAATGAATGAGAATACTCCTCCTTGTCGAACATCTCTGTTGTCAGAATATTTAAAAACAGAAGACATCACTCGGATGAATTAGCCAGCTTACTCACCAGACTTTAACATGTGTAGGATGTCTTACACTGATGAATTGGAACGTGCCAAATGCTTCCCGGATCCTCCAGAATTTGAAAAAGGTACTTTTAGAGGAGTGGCATAATTTCAAAAGACTTAGTCAACAGTTTGGTAAATTCTATCAAATTAAGACATGAAATTCGCATTTCTGTCCGAAGTGATTGTACATGATATTAAAGAAAGATTTGTTACAGAATAGGAGAGTTTTTTTTTATTTCCATGACACTACGTTTAATATTTTGAGATTGGGAATTTATGTCAAATAATGCTTTGCATTAATTGTTTTTAAACATTTTTAGATAAGTAACATTTAATTTTATTTCTGTCTTCTTTTTTCCACGAGGAGCATATATGATCATACGTATAGACAATATTTAGGTTCAGCAAAAAGACTATGACTTACCAAAGAGACTGAGATGACGTAAAAACATTTCTATAAAATTGATTTTATTTATGAAAAGGGAAGATATAAACTTTGATATCTTTTGCAATATTTTACGGAACCTCAAGGTACTGCTTCTTTAGCCTGAAGGATTTGGATATAAGAGTTCATTGAGGAGCTTTGTAGTACATTTAATACCCACCACAAAAAGAAACTATGCTTCTTTTCCCTCCAGATATTCTTTTGTACCGCAGTTCACTTTCAAAAAATAAATTTCAGTTGATTACTAACTCATTTAACGCTTTCAACAAATTCCACAGTTTGCAGCGACTGGATGACACTGCCGCTTCTATTTAGTAAGCTTCAAAGCTAGACATAACGAGTAAATTTTCTGAAATCGACTTTGCAGTCAGAACTGCATGTAGAAGAGGTGTCTTAAATGATGCAATGTTTTTTACAGTGAATATTCAGCATATTTCATTTAAGTCGTCGAGAATGTGAATGCATGATTTGCGAAAATCTGCCTGAACTTATAACCGATTTCTTGATTTTGAATTTTAATTTGGCCAAATTAATATTTTGACACTCATTCATTTTGGTGAACTATCAAGCTTAGCACCGTGGGAAATCACCCCTATTGCTTTTATATTAAACAAAGCTAACAGTCAATCTATGACCAGTCAGTCTCTCAGTCCGAAATTACTGAGTCACTTCTTGTTTATAATCAAATATTATTACTGTCTGTATTCTCCTAATGGTAAATACATTTTCATACCTATATTGCCGGAAACTATCTCTTAAGGTCCGTGTACGCTAAGTGGAACTTTAAGCTGAAGAAATGTACTTAAACTTGAAGGCCTTTTAATAGTTTGTTTTATTCGCCTACGGCAAAAACGCGAGGGCCATCTGCTTCACAGAAGACTGACTGCCTTTCGTGGAGGACTTTTTAAAGGAAAGAGGCTCATATATCCGCTATACATGTGGAAAATCACTAAAACGCTTATACATACAGCCAAAGCCTGTTGACCCGGAATCAAACCTAGAACAAACTACCACTGTTCGGCGACTTTACCCTTCGGCCGCTGGTGGGCCACCTTTCAATGGAATAAGTTTCGTGTGAGTACTATTTCACTGTTGAATTTTTGAATAACCTTATTGCCTAAGCAGTTATTTATTTGTTTTGTGACATAACTACGTAGGTACTCTGTTTTATCTCAAGAGGCTCTGTGTTCTCCCTTTATCGGAGCCTTCACTTTCAAGCGCGTTTCTTGAGCTCAAGGTTCTGCTAGTTTAAATGACTTTTGGCGATCTGTAAGGTAAGTGTAACAAATAGGGCGATCTCTAACCCTATTTGTTACACTGAAATGTAACCCTGAGATTCCCATAATGAACGAAAACGAAACTTTTGATTTGCCGCTGGCAACAGAATTTGTATCTTAGATTAGCGATGTTTGCGAGGTTGTTAACCGTAGTGTGAAGGAGTTTTCAATATTATAAACATAAGTATAGTTATGTTTCGTAAAGCGTATTCGTACTCTAGTGTTTCAGAGCAGCAATCAAATGGTTGTTGCCGAGGGTGTGAGTATATTGTTAGATTTTAATGAAAGGTATCCATAATTTTACGATGTGGGTTATAGAGAAACTAAAATTTTAATAGCAGCTTAATTAACTGAATGTCTTCTTTGAAGGTGTTTTGAATGTTCTGAGTGAAAAAATGGAGTGTATTTTGTTACAGTAAAAATTTTAATCCTCGGAACTAGAATATTGAGTGGGCACCTGCATGCGTGCAATAATTTAGGCTTCCTTTTTAAATGTTTTCTTTAATTATCTACCTTTTCTGTAACAGAGTTAGTATATGCACTTTAAATGATTTGTGATTTGGTATTAAGTTTCTATTGCTGCAACATGTAAAATGTTTTTCCATTTTTTTATTCACGTATCTCGACAAGAATAGGTAAATAGTTTTTAACATTTTTGTAGTGGTATCTGTCTTAAAATAACCTCTGAATACCGGCTACATATAATTACAAAAGGTTATTTGATGCTTAATTGCTTTAAAACGTCTATGTGATTTCTTTCCTTTGGCTAATTTTTTCAACAGCTGTTAAAAGCAGTTTTTGTGTTCAAAATAATATGCTTGAAATACAGGTACCAGAGCCATTGCTTAATGTGTAACCTTTCATGGCGGGTATATGAATCTAAGAATAGTTAATTAATAATCTTAGAATCTAAAATTTTCAATTCATTGCCTTTGGTCTAATTTATAGTTATATCACCATTTTTGAAGCATGTATTAAAGGTTCTGAGTAATTCTTTTGATATATATATGCAAAATAAGTCGTTATATATTATGCTGAATTGTTCTTTTAATGTATGTAAATTAATGTTTTATAATGTATGTAAATTAATTTAATGTTTTATAATGTATGTAAATTAATTTAATGTATTTAATGTAATTTAATGTATATATACAAAGTAAATAAGAGCAGCCATTCTTAATGGGGGAGTGTATTTTTATGCATTTAAGATGCCTAAAAACTTTATTCCTTTAATATATATATACACTAAGTAAATTTGTCATTAATATTTTCTAATGTTATCAAATATGTATTTTTTTGTTTGATGTGTGATTAGGCACTTATCATCAAAGATAACTTTAGAGTAGAACTTGCAGGAAAATCCAAGTGAGAAACCTTTGTAGTGACATGGGGCTGCTTGCTCACAGTAATCAATATTTGAAATCATAAGGTTTCTTTTCTGTTCTCTAAGCACTTCATGCTTTGTATGTGCATGGCAATGGGTGCTTTTCCTGGACCACTCATCTTCCATTATGCAGTTCCATTTCAGTTTGTAGATGGGTACATATACGAAGAAAAATTAGATTCTCCTTGTAAGTGTGTAAACTTTTTTTTGAAAAACAACAAGGTCAGCTTTTCATTAACTTGAGTGTTTAATATATGCTTGCTATTGAGTAAATATTAATGTATGTTTAATTATTAAGTGATATATGTTATTTACATGGTAATTATTACTTCAGGTATTTTTATTAGTTTTTAATTCAAAGGATAAAGATAATAATGGATAATTAAAGTCTGGTATTAAACTGGGGACAAAAATAAAATTTTAAACTATTATATCCTGTGCTTTGCTTATTCATTTTAATCTTAAATATTTTAATTGAAGCTCTGAAATTAAACTAGGTTTTTAGCAGTGTAATTCTAGTTTAATTCTATTTGTAAAAAGAAATACCAAGCATTGCAGTTGACAAACAGTTAAAGGTAAAGCACACTGTGATTAAAATGTTTATGAATTATAATCTGTAAAAGTCACATCTATACTTTACTGCTGGTTTTGTTTTCTTAGGTGCCCTAAACCTATAGAATACATAGTTGCTGTGGGTGAAGGAAAATTAATCTGTTGTAGAAGGAGATAGATGTATTATCAACATATTTTTCAGTACACAAATCCAGCCAGTGGCATTATATTGTCATTGTGTACTGATCTGTGTTCTGACAGGGATATGATGTATGACTGTTAATGCTGTTATTTTATGAATCTTTCTTCATCTAAATGAGTAGTTACTTTGTTCTTGCACTAAACTCGCGGTGTTTTGGCTACCTTTCTTCACCGTTTAGTCACTGTTCTTGGTATTCCGTGATGTAATTTACATAAGTACTTTATGCGAGGTCAGCACATAAACTCTAAGCTGCAATACTCGTGAATGTTTTCTGTTATAAAAATAAATAATATTTGCACTGCTAGATTAGAAGCTTTTGAATCACTTTATGTAAAATGTGATCTGTGTTATACTGAGTTTTCATGATGGAAAGACTTTTTAAATCTGTTGATTTTCTTAGAGGAAAGATAAACTGTTACTGAGGAGGCAGAATTATCTCTTTTCATCTGAAGTGTGTATATGTATATGAAATTAAATTATTTGAGATATCACCTATAAAATTTAATCTCAAATTTATAATGGAATTTACATGTCATTTGGACATGTAAGAAAATGATCAGGTGCAATTTAGCAATCATCAGAAATAGAATTTCTATTTGAATCATGAAAACAGAATTTTTCATGATTTCATTTCTTCAATGTTGGTAGAAGACATTCAAATTCGTTAATTTAGCTCTTTTTCATTCTTATTACGTTGTGAAATTCTGAGGGTGACTTCTATAAGTTCATTGACAAGTACTAATCTGTCTTCTGGTTATATGAAGGGATATTTGAATGAAAGTTAAGACTTCCTGGTTAAAAAACCTTTACTTAGGTTATTCAGAGCATTTGAGTTAATTTTTTTATGCGAGGAAAATTTAAAAATTCTATTTCAGTGAAAGTAAGCCAGATCTTCTGAGAATTTTGATGACATCAATTTTATATTTACTAGGAAAAAGTGCCATGAATGATGATTTTTGGGTGATTTTTTTTTTACAAAATTAGGTAATGTTGGACAACATAGTTAAAGCTTAAGTTTGTGACTGGTGAATTAGCTTGCATAACAATTAAATAATTAGTAAATGTTAAAAGAATTTTCTCCTGTCTTATAGTGAAGCACTGACTTGCATTCATTTCTTTTGAATTTCACTACTCATGAAAATTATATCTTAAATTAAACGAGACTTCATTTTAAAATGTCCCAGTAAATAATAATTCACTAAAACTATATTTTTTCCCTCTTGTATAGATATTGAAAACACATTATGTATGATTCAAGGAGCTTGTCTAAATTATTAGTCTTTATTCTGAAAAGCAAGTGTAGCTTTTTAATTTGTAAATGTATCATAATTTTGGTTTATTTACATTGCATTTGTATTTCAAATAATTATTGCATGACAGTGGATTCTGTATTTTTTGTAATAAAAGAAAGTTTGTGTTATCCTGATGTACTTGTCATAGTCATCTGAAATGATTGTTGTGTATACTTAACATATGTTTAAATATTTCAGCATGTCGATGTTTAACCAGGATACCTTATGCAACTTTAATAGCTACTGTTCTGTGCTGCACTGGAGTTGGAATATTCCTTGGCTCATTTTACCGTGGCATATCTTTAACTTTAAGGACCTTTGAAGAAGTGTTTCATTTTAAGTTTGATTGGTAAGTATGGTAATTTAGTGATTTATTAAGTAGTAGAGCTTTCAAACATGACCCAAACAAAAGGAATTATTGAAAAAGGTAGAATCGTTACATACTTGCAAAGTATGCCATCATTCAAAATTATTCCCCTCCTCAGAAGTGCACCTTTCTGGACGTTTTATCTCGTTTTCAGAGGAGATATTTCATTGGTTACATAGCTATTCCTAAAACTTCAGGATAATAGTGGAAGCTAAATTTTGACGTGGCGACACATCTGACTTACCTATACATGACAGATGGTATTCTACATCTTCTGTGTAAATCTAGTCAAAATTTTGGAGCTTGAGATCCCTTCTTGAATTAAAAACTTAGCAAAAATCCTTTCTAACCTCGAGAAATTGTCATGTGAAAAATTCAGCAGTAGGATCATGTTTGAATACGTTAGTGATATGGACTTTGTTTTATGTATTTAAATTATTCCTTTATTATAATAAATATAGTGCAGACATTTGAAAAACTATATAATCTAAATTTCAATAAATGTATACAAATTTTGAAAAGGAGGGGAGAATAATCATCTAGCAGTGGTGAAAGAAGTGCATGGGAGTAAAAAGGCTAAGAAATACTGCTGTAAATATTATTGAGTTGTTGCCTGCATTGTCTGTAATTGCCTCCATTAAAGGTTTTGCAGTTGCATTTTTAACCATTCATTTCAACCATGCCTTGCATGGTAAAATGGCTGCCAGCAGTAAACTTAGTTTTGGGTGGTATAGAATAAGAGAGCAGTTTTTTTTTATTTTATTTTATTTTAAGTGGTTGAGGACAGAAGAAAAGAAACTTTTTTGGATGTAGTTCAATGGAATTATAAGTGTACTGTTTGTACGAAGATAATTCCTATGGTCGAACGTAAAGAAACGTTCCGATGGCTTTGAATGGGTTTGTCGCAAGAAAGGTTCAAATGCTCACCATAGTGCTCCATTAGAAAGGGAAAATGGCATGAGGAAAGTTTTGGGATGCTGTTAAGGAATTTTGTGTGCCACAGACTAAAGACTCAGAAATTTCTAAATAAGTGGATATTTCCTTTGTGTAGTGTGTAGATGCAATAGTAGTGCGTAGTGCTTTTTATGTTATTTCATTGATTTAAAATGCAGTTTACTGAGATTATATATTTTTTCTTGGGCTGTAGTGTAGAATTGGGAGCTCTTTTGATTTTTAAGTTAAAATAGATCAATGTATAAGTCAAGTCAGTGCGCAATGCCAATTTCGTGCAAGTCTCCGGGTTTTTTTTAAGAGTAAAAATAGATCGATATGTTCATGGACACTGAGTGTGTGCAATTCTTTGACTTGTTATTTTGGTTTTGTGTAAAGGCCATCTTGAAATTATGCCTTGCTGGCCAATCGCCAATTTTCACCCCTTAAACGTGTTTTTACTTTAATTTTTTGTCAAAAAGTCATAGCCAAGATTATGTGACTCAGTGTAACTGATAAGTATTTTTATATGTGCAATTATGTGTATCCATTAGAAGTATGGGTTAATCTTTTACTAGCAAATTTTAAGCATAACACTAGGTTTCCCATGTACATTATTTTGACCCATTTTGAGCTTTGTGAAAGAAATTATGGAAACGTTTTAGATCTTTGTTCTGCCACTGATACTGACTTTAATTCATTCAGTGAGATGAGTACATATTGGAATTAGTCTTCAAGGCTTCTAATTTTGAAATTCTTGATGTGATATACATATCTCTACTGATACAGGTCAATTTGATGCATTAGGAAAATAAGCATTATTGCTAGGAAGTTGGCTCTGTTTATGCACTAATGTTTTTGTGTTTGAACATCCTGATGCAGAAAAGAGATAAGCATCAGAACAAACTAAAGGTGATATGTGAATTGTCATCTTATGTTGCAGAAGACATTTTAGCACTTTTGGTCTGTGCATTCAAAATATAATGTAATATAATATTAAATATTATAAATTTTGTGTCTCATTATTTCATTTATGACACTTTTTACATAATTTTTTTTTTTTTTTAAAGAAAACGTGTGATTTTATTCATGGATTATTGACCTATGTTGGTAGTGAATATGGAAAATGTCAGTAAACCTACTGTTAACGTTATGATTCTATGAGTTATTGACATTCTCTTCTCTTACTTAGGCAGTTGTAGTAATCTTTATTCATCTCCCCATTTTTTCTTTTATGTTAGTTACAAAATTGCTCAGATACTGCACTAATTCAGCTTTCAGGTCAGTGCTCCTATCGATGAAAAATTTTGCTAAATTTTTATAAACACCTGTATCTTTTTAATTCTATGAGATGCAATATTTGATGTCACTGTGGTTTGTCATATTTTGAACAAGCTAAGAATGTTAGAATTTCACATTAAGAAACATATAGCCTATATTAATTGAAGAGAAATAAATACAGTCAAAAGTCTTTAATCCAGACTCGTCTGGACTTCGGCAATTCCGGATTATCGGTTTTTCCGGATTATAGATCATCAATCTAAATCTGGTACGATGGCATGCAGAAATTATAAAATTAAAAATATGAAACTGTAATTTATGAAATAAAGAGCAATTATGATCTAAAGGGTATCAAAATTTACAAAAAAAAGCTTAATATTTATTTGTTTACTTTATCAAACATTTCTTTCAACGCGCGCATTTGTAAAGCATACATTATAGTCGAAATTAGAAAATTGCAACCAGAAAACTATTTGATGTGTATTCGTGATATTTATAATGATGAGGAATTTGATTTAAATCATATGTTTAATCTTTGGATTATGGTAACTTGGCGAAAATTTGGTGACCAACCCTGCTACAGCAACCTGCTAGTTTTTGTTTGGACGCCATTTTGTTTTCATGAAGTAAAGGCTTTTTTTTTTATATTCAACATTTTTTTCCAACAATCTGCTAGCCGAATTACGCTTATGCTAGAACTTTTATGGAACAAAAGTGCTTAATCATGACAAAGATTAGGTGCGAAATTGGGAGAAAGTGCATCGCAAACTGCTTGCCGCCTTTTTAAGAATTGCACATACACGGTAACCATGTACGCGTCGACCTATTTTCACTTAAAAAAAATCCCAGAATTGCACAAAAATGGCATTGCGCACACTCTTGACTTTATCCATGTACACTGCTAAAGTCCTAGTTAGTAACCTTTATCGCCTTATCAAAATGTCGCCAAACTACCTGTTACCATATTCCAAAGATTAGCCAATCATATCAAAGACAGAGTACATTGAGATGAAATACTACAAAGGATAGTGCTGACAGATCAACTTCCAACTCATTGCACACTGCGACGTCCCCCCCCTTGCAGAGCAGCGTTAAATTGGTAAATAGATTTTGGAATGGTTAGAGAAACAGTAGTAATATATGCCTTTATCCATTTTTTGCAGCAATTCCACTTTTTGTTTGATGGACATTGAAACATGCTTTCGCTTTGTAGATCCTTTGGCAGCTCCAGAATCGGAAATTCTTTTTGACATAATCAAAAGTTCAAGCTTACTTTTATAAAATTGCTCTAACAGTCTGCAAAAAATAATAAGCCGGATCCAATTAGAAGATTAAGGAACAACGCAATCTGCAACATTAACTGAAATAGATAATTAGATAATTTTTGCTTAGCTTATACCGTCCGTTATACATTAAACGCGCATGCGTAAACATATTATGCGCATGAAGTTTGTAGCTTTGAGGTCCAGATTATAGATCATTCCGGATTATGGACATCCGGATTAAAGACTTTTGACTGTACATCTTCAATGGTTAATTTCTTAACCCTAATTTTTTACTTTAGTTTTGTTAAATAGCAGAAGTCTTTGGCCTCATCTATGTATTTGGTTCTTCCCTTCATCACCAGTACGTAATGTTCAGTTTTTCAAGGTCACAGGCCAATGGCAGAATTTCATTCTTTCTATGCAAGGAGCAAAAAGTTTAAGGTGAATAAAGGTCTAGTAAATGCTATGTATAGCATTTACGAGAAATTTTTCTATTTCTGATCACTATTTTTTCATGAAAATCAACTAATATTTCTTTATAAGAAAAGTTAATTAAATAATAACTTTAACTGAAGAATTAATTAAATGTTGTGATAATATATCAATTTTAATATTTTTGTGATGTTTATCTATTGAATATAAGGATTTTTATATTCAGTAGATATTGAGTATTTTTACTTTTATTTTTCTCAAAAGTTTAAATATGTTCTTATGTTTATTGTTCTTATGTTCAGGTTAAATGATTTGCACATTGTTTTCATTATCATTGGTGGAGTTATGGGTGCATTTAGTTTGATACTGCTGCTGGTGGGCTTTTTAGCAACTGGTGCTACAAGGGAGAGAGTTTATCGAGGATTTAAATCCAGAGTTGGTGGACGCGTATCTTGTGCTTTTGTAAGTACTTTTATGAATGCTATTTAGGTATTAAATTTTGAACTTTGACTATTTTCTTTTGTAGTTATACTATGTGAAATGTGTGTGATTGTCTTGCAAATTTGTTCACATTAGAATCTTTGGATTGCATTTTGTATACTGTTTTGCATTTTTAATAATTTTATGTACATGTATTGTTGTGTTGCTGCCACATAAATGTCTAATATTTTATGAGTGTGTGCATTATGTAGTTCATTTGTTTGTAACTCATTTTCCTATTGGAATAATTCTTTGCATGCTTAACTGTACCATTACCTATTCGTCTGATAGAGTATCATGCATATTTGCATCATTGTTAAAACTACTATCTGTTCGTGAAAAAGAGGAGACTTATTTTTATAGAAAGTTCCTCACTTTTCACAGGATTAGTTTCGATGGTTTTAACGAACCACCATCCTCAGCTGCAAAAGCACGAAAATTTGAAAACGCTGATTTTTGTTGTTTGACTTCTGAATTAGTATTTGTTCGGCATGTTATTTTGTCTTAATTATCAGCTAAAACCTGTTCTGTAGGAAGAATTCAAGCCCACCAGCGTTGCTGAACACTGCTAGTTCAAAACTGGGTTCAATTCTAGGTGAACGAGCTAAAAGCATGGGCATTTTCATTGTTTTGCCCATGTGTAAGGTGGATAGGAACCAATTTCCCTTAGAAAGTCCACAAAGGTATCCCTTCCTTTGGGCAGTTAACACTCATGTATTTTGCCTTAATTAAAGTGAAGAAGTCGAAAATGGTTTAAATATTCTTTGCTAAAAAGTAGTAAATGCAAAATGGTCTATTATAATCTGGAACTTTGCTTTGTGAAAGGAATGTTACACTCTACATATATTGTTCATTTTATATGTGTAAGTTATGCATGCAACTTTAATGATAGACGTATACATGTAATTTAGACAATACATCCAATTACAATAATGCTTTAACCTTTCAAGACGGCATGCCTTTGTTTAAGATGTTCCCTCGGGATGGATTGGAGTCGAAAGGAATCCCCCCCCTGGTGTTTTGCATCCACTAAGCCTAACTTTAGAACAGAATAACACAAAAAACTTTATATCCTAACATAATTTTTGGTACTATTTTGGATTATTAATTAAGCTATATATATGTTGTATATGTATGTTGTATATATGTTGAGCTCATCTTTGAGAGAAGAATGGGGACCATGTAAAGGGAAGGATTTGGGTTTCTCTAATGGAGAATCCCATTTCTTGCGACCTACCTAAACCTGTCAGTGTCGTTAACTTTAAATTAAAAACTGGACATGACTACCTCATGAAACACCTACACAGATTTAGTTTTAACAGACTCATCCGTCTTGCCCATTATATGATATTGATGGCATGTGCAGTGACCATTTGGACACTTGTTATGGACTATGATGTAGCAATGATTAATGCTGTCAAAAGTACTTTTTTTAGTATTTCTGAATTGTATTGGGCTGCCCTTCACAGACTAATAGTTGTCATGCCTAGATCTGGCATAGAATAAATTTTAAAAAAAATCATGTATTAAAATTAGCATTTAATGATAGTTTACTTTGCTTGAAAATATATAAAAATTTGCTTACTTAGAGGAATAATTTTCAGAAGCGCTATTCAAATTATTCCAAAGTTTTTATTGATAAAATAAACTTTTTAATTAATTTTAAAATTACAAGAAAGGCTGCTTACAAGAAGAAGTAACAAGATTTTTATGTGAACTGGAAGGCAGACATTAATCTCAATCTCTGACAAAATGTCAACAGAAGAGTCATTAGCAATATCACTCTCTAAATTCTTGAGAAAATTAATTTCACTCTCATTCATATCACTAACTGACTCATATACCATGCAAGTATATACTTCATCTGATAAATAACATTCGCTCTTCATAATAAACTGTAGTTAAGGCTTTTCAAAATAAAAAGAGAAGTGTGTGAAATATAAATGATAAAAGCAATGCAAAGCATAATAGAACCCCACACAGTAACTCCAAAAAATCTTAGATAGTACCAAAAAAATATTAAAAAAGCATTTGAAGGCGTATTATTAATGCAAATGTTTATATCATGCTGTAAGTTAAAAGAGAAGAGTTCAGTCAGTTAACATTACGCCCTTCCCTGCAGCAGCTGACACCAACATTGTACAGAATGTGATCAAATTGAGGTCAGAATCCTAAAAATATATTCAGTTCAAAAGTAATGGGCGCAGGGCACCATCTAGTGGTCTTGAAAACATTTCCAGGCACAAATGTGTGAAGGCCTTGGGGGTGAATGAAGGCACTGTTTTATTATCAGGACCGGATAAGGAAATGTATATGTGGATGTATGTGTGTGTATACATATACACATATATGCACATATATACACATATATATGCACATATGTGTATACATATACACATATATGCCCATATGTATATGTGGATGTATACATATACACATATATGCACATACACACGTTCGTACATTTCTGAATCCTGATGACAGAACAGTACCTGAATGAGGAAATGTTCTGGCATGCCAGTGTGCTGCCAGGACATGAGTGCATTTCTTGCTGGCACGTATGCGTGGCAGTTGGCATGAGAGGGTTAACTTTGGAAAATATTCGCATTATGGAATTTTTAAATTCTTAATTTTTTAAAATTTATAATATTTAACTTTTTATTTGGGCTTATGGTCCTATTAGTTATATAAAGATATAGTACAGGTTCAGTATGAGTAATTCAGATTTCAGGTTTCTCTTTAGGCTGATATTAGGAGGGTTATCCAACTGAAGGATAATTTCATGGAGGACTTTCAAAGGCAAGCTGCGTTTCATTCATGTCGCACAGGGGGAGGGGTAAACCCTGTTAAACTTATGATGCAGCCAGCTCATTTGTTCAACAACAGGTTTGGGTAGATTATCAAGTGAATCGTGCACATAAACACTTATGAAATTGGGTTTGAATGGAAAGGGGGAAAATGCCAATCAGATAGAGCCATACATAAAATTTATTTATTCTACCATAATTAACACTGTAAAATTAGAAGTACCAACAAATAACATACACATATTTTAATAAGCAGATGTTTAATTTTGACCATCTTATAGTTCTAATGTTAAATATGATCAGTGGGGTTTGTCTTTCCAGTAATAGTAGATGCAGAACAAATGCAAAACATTTGTCAATTTTTAGTATGCTGTACCATGTATTAAATATGTTTTAATGTGTATTTTAATTTTATTTTCTTCTTTAACTTCCTATTTTTTCTCCCATATATATAGTTTATGGGACTAACATACATTCTGGAACTGGTTTGGTTGCTTGTATTTGTTTCACTTGTGCTTATCACATTTGTCTTCTCTGTTTGGTGGGGAATGTGCAATAATTTGAAGTATGAACCTAACCCAGATAATAGATGCATTGATTTGAAACCTCTTGGTAAGTTTATATTCTTAGAAAATATGTTTAACTACCAAGAAAATATTTGGTAATTTCTATATGACATATTGGATGTTTATTGATAAGTTTATCATGGGAAGGAAGAGTGGTAATAATATTCAGTAATATGTTAAGATTATTAAAAACAATCACATTGGGCAATTGTATATATGAAAAATCTGCATTGCTGTTTGGTTTATCTGTGGATATTTTCTCTCTATATGTGTGTGTTATATTCTTGTGTCCAATATTATCTTTCATGCACAAAAACGGGATTTCTTGAAAATTGTGAATAAAATTCAATGAATTTATTTGGTCTAATACATACCTTTAGAACACATAAATACGAATTAAAATATCAATTATTAATGTGCATGACATAAAGCTATGTTATAAGGAAATTAATATAAAGTGAGTGCTGTGTGGCAGTGTGATTTAAAAAAGAAGTAATAAATAAATTCAAGCTTTTTTAATAGGGAATGTGATTTTTCCTATCTAGTATGTACAAAGTGATTTCTATTGTCTATATGGTAGTTGATTAGAGTCTGAGAAAATAAGTTGCTCCGATTCATTCCTTGACAAGGGTGGTGCTGGCATCTATTTTATCCATGCTAATGGTGAATTTGAATCCCATAAAATACCTCTTGGTAAAATTGTCTCAAATTATACCTGTGAGCTCACCATAAAAAAAGGCTTTAGATATCTATCTTTCCAAGGCAATCCAGAGCTCCAGTAGCCTCTTACTATTCTCTGATTCTACATCTGCACTTCAAGTCGTTCTAAAGGGCAACTCTCAACTTACCCAGGACATTGTCATGCTCATAAACAAAATTACTGTAGCCGAAAGGACCTGCACACTACAGTGGATACCAGCGCATGTTGATATTTATGAAAATGAGCAAGCTGATGGCCTTGCCAAAGACGCCCGAAATAGTTTTCAACACTTCCAACACCTTAACCCTTACCGATGCTGACGCAATAGCCACCCAAAGACTTATCTCTCAATCAATCAAGAAGAACTCCATTCCTGCCCTAAATTGTAACTGTGTCATTTCCACTACCATAGCCAGACTGAGGACAAAACACTTTAAAGGAATGAAGATATCCCCTGATGGCCAGTGAAATTATAATAGCTATCCTCACTGTACTGATATGCACCTTTCTCCAGACCATCTCATCGAGTGTCCTGCTATTTTGGCCAGGCTCCTCAGTATAGATATAACTCCCTTGCACCAACTCCTCTATTCTTCGAAGGTTATTGATGTTGCTGCGGCTATTCTGGATACTTTCGGTCCTATTTGACTCCTCTGCACTGACTTGTCGGACAAGACAACAAAGTAAGTTGTATTCCTTAAATGATTAGGCCCACCAGCGGCCGAGCGGTAAAGTCGCTGAACACTGGTAGTTCGGTCCGAGGTTCGAATCCCGCGAACGGGCTGGCTGCATGGGTGTTTTCGTGGTTTTCCCCATGTGTAACGTGTATATGAGCCAGTTTCCCTTAGAAAGTCCTCCACGAAAGGCATCCCTCCTCTTAGGCAGATAGCCCTTGTGTGCTTTGCCATAATTAAATACACCACACTCCTTAAATGATTAATATCTGTTGACAAATTTTACTGTACAGCAGATTTTTTGGGGTGGTCTGTACGTTTTGTACTAGATTGAGATCGAGAGATTTGACTAGGGCCTATATTCACTCAGTGCCTATGATTCCTGAAAATTCACCCAGGTTTCTGAATGTGAGCACCTGTTATCATCCAAGAAAAGAAAATTTTGTGTGCATTCCTTAAATAACTTCGTCTAGGATTGTAAGATGCCATTGTTTGTAGGCAGTCACAGAAGCCAACTTGCAGTATAGAAATAAACACAAAAGTATATCTTGAACATTATTTAGTAGGTACAACATAAAAATTAAACATTTTGAGAGTAATCTGCTATTAGAACATAGTCATAAAAGAATAATATAAAAAAAGCAAATGTTGCAACATCTCAGATACAAATCATAGCACAAATATATGTAGGAAAGTGCACCGCTGGCCAAGAAAATTGCTACACCATGAAGGGAAGTAAATATCAAATTTATTGTGTATGTACCATCTATCTAAAAACTTCCAAGACTGGATTAATTAGAACTATAGAAAACTTAAGATTAATATTTTAATGTGGGGTGTTATTGGGGTGTTCTACATAGTTTTCTTCCCCACTTGAGTATAACATGCAGAATATTCATATAGCCATATAAAACTGTCAGAAAAGTTCTTGTTTAGGATGTTATTCAACTTGTGTGTCACTATAGCTTCAATGTTGATTACACCATCATAGCATTGACTTTTTCATGCAAAGTTTCGTTTCCTGGAATAAAAGAAAAATCAAATTTGGGGGGGGGGAAATCTGAAGGATGATTGAGAACTGGCATGTATTTTTTTCACTAGAAACTGCACTACAGCTCCAACCATGTGAATAGGTGCATTGTCATGCAGCAAGAAGAAATTCCTTCATTTCCGCTGTTCCAGGTGAGCCTGCTGTGTCCTCTTGCGTAACCAATCCATGACACCCCGATAAAATAGAGAATTGCTTTCTCAGTTATGATTATATACCAGGATAAAAATCTATCTCAGAACTTTTCTGGTTGTGTGTACAGTATAATGCCAAGGAGACATGATTAAGTTTGCAGGTGGTTTGGCATACATAGTATACAGAATTCGGTATATAAAGCTGTCAGTTTTGGCAGCACATACCTGGCATTGTAGCTGTTAATAGTATAATCTGGCTAGACGTCAATTGAACTGACCTTAGAGAATGGATATTTGTGCTTTATTCCATGCTATTGAAATCATTTTGAAGAGGAAAAAACATGAAAATCTGAAGGATCAAGGTCAGTGGAATATGGCGGGTGCTTGATTATTTTCCAGTGTAACTCTCCAAGTCAGTTTTTGCAATTCCTGTTGAGTTGCATGTGGTATAGTGTTATCATGATGAAGGATGCCACCTTTTTTCATTGATCACATTTGCATGTTTTGCTTGGATTTCAACACTGAGTTCAGTGTGTTGCTCCAGAGTTATTGTTTGGCCACATAGAAGAAGCTCGTAAAAGATTATCTGTTTGTAATCCCATCAGACGCTTTCATTGGATAGAATTCAGTCTTTGCCTTAGATTCTGCTGTTTCAGTTCTATACTTCCAGCTTTTTATTGTTGTTATATACACAGCCCATTTTATGTTTCCAGATAAAACTTTATTCTAGAAAGTGTTTGTTTTGTTGATGGGCAAGGAGAGAAATAGTTGTGGAAACACATTTCAGTTTTTTCTGCTCTTGTCTAAAAGCGTGGAACCCATATGTTAAGTTCCCAAAATGCTTTAAATGGTGGAATGCAGTCTATCTGTCAACATTAGCTTCTCATCAGTTTCTTCGGTATTAATTCATGGATTCTTATTCACTAAATCACAGATAAAATCTTATGATTGCTTGAAAGTCACCCAAAGTGGAGTTTATCATTTAGGTTGCAGTTACGATTTTGAAATCAACTAAACCACTTTTTAACTGTCCTAGAAGCATCATCGAAAAGAAACGTCCTGAATATTTTTGTTCAGTTCCAACAGTAACTTGTTTTAAACTCATGATATGAGGATGAAACTTATGAGCTTTTTCATTAGCATTTCAATTTTTTTAACACAAAGAAATAAATTCAAATAAACTTTAAGGTTATGTTGGCTCATACATTTAGGTAGCTGTCAGTTAATAATATGATTATAAAAGGAACATCAGCATCTATAAAACATCTGACATGTGTAAAAATTACACACCTAAGTGCATATAGCACATTTTATTCATTCATTATTTCTTTTCAGCCTTTCTGTTTTCAAACAGTACAGATACAAATTTGCTTAGAATTTGTGATGAAGGCAAAAGGAAGAATTTCTGCAAAGATTGTGTAAGTACTTTACTCTTTTGTGTTCTGTTTGTATTAATTTCTTTGGAAGTGTTGCTTTTTTAAATTCCTAAATGAATTTAGTGTAGAAATGATGAGTAATGAATGATCCTTAAAAATCTGAGCTTTTTAAATGCTTCTTCATTGTAAATGTTTTAAAGCTGAAATTGCAATGATCACTCTATGACAGTGACACCTTCATGTCAGACTTCACAAGCTCATTAGAGAATTATAGCAATTTTGGCTTCACACTCTAAAAGAAAAAATTATGTTTAAAACAGTTTCATTTTGTATAACATCACAAAATCTTATCTAAATCTAGTGTCGATATAGCCAAAAAATATTTCACATTTGATGCATGTTAATTTGATTCCTTTTCTGAATGCAGTCTATGTTTCGTTCTAATGTTTAGAATTTTAATTTACATAAATATTGCCTACTTTTGAATATTAAAATTATTCTTCATAAGTATAGCATTTAATTTTACAAAGCTTAGTCATCCTTAAATTTAATTCTCATTATACTTGTTCAATTAATTATTTCAGTTTCAAAGTGCAAATAATTTTCATTCATTTCATATTCAAGAAGGTGAAAGCGAAATTCTAAACTTTTCTGTCAAAAGATTGTATCTCAGATTTTAATGGATTCTGTGAAAATTGTAGCTGTGAAAGAAGACACTAGTTTTTGTGAAGTAGCTCTGCTATTAAACAGTTTTCCATCTGCAAAAACTCTTAAAGTTATATAGAGAGTTCAGTTAAAAAAATGTTATTCAGTTATTCATTATGAAAGGTCTAAGACCATTTTTAAGAAGTCTACTGTCTGATTTTTAAATATTGACTGTGTATCCATTTCTCTTATAGTATCAACTAAATATTAGAGCTGAGGTATCTTTCAATTCTGTAATGCATCTGTAAAAGTGAGATGTTTTAATCTCTCAGTGTCCTTTTGCTGTTGTAGCTTATGATAATTTTTTAAGAAATTCTCAACTGTTAATTCTGGGGCTTTTGATAAAGCATCAACATCTATCTTCTTGGCTGAAAGTTTGGTGTATTAAGAATACAGCAAAGCACACTAGGGCTATCTGCCTAAGGGGAGGGATGCCTTTGTGGAGGACTTTCTAAGGGAAACTCGCTCGTATACACGTTACACATGGGGAAAACCACGACCCATGCAGCCAGCCCGGATTTGAGCCTTGGACCGAACTACCAGTGTTCAGCGATTTTACCGCTCGGCCACTGGTGGGCTTCTTGGCTGAAAGTATTTGCAGTATTACATCCATGGTAGCATGGAGAAATCCATGAAGTTGGTTTCCTTTTTACAGGATCTGATAAATTTTTAAGTATGTTATTCATATTGCTTCTTGTAATTACAGAATTACAAGGAATATTCTGTGTTTTTTGTTCAACCACATCTTAATGATGGAATTTGGGCATCGCATTCAGATATGAGATAAAATAGCACACCAGTTGGACCTGGTTCCAGACTTTGGTTATAGCAGTTTGTTTGATAAAAATTGCCTTATTTAGAGATAGGATTTCTTCATTAGCATACACTTATTCTTTTGATATTTTTTTTTTTTTTTTTTTTTTTTGTTAAATTCTCAGAACACTTGTAGGTATACTAAAATGAGCTTCTGAAACATTCAAAAAAATCTCTAGTTTGTCAAATTGGTAGCAAATGCCTGTCCACTTTAAAGTCTTGTAAACAAATATCTAAATGCAGAAAAAAGTTCTCAGATTTACAATAGATCAATGTACAAACAAATAAATTGTAATATAAAACTAATAAAAAGATAAGTTATTACATACATTCAGAGCATCATAAAAAAAATCAAAAGATTGTCACTCAAATTTGTTATGAAATAAACCTTATTTACTGTTGATTTATAGGTTGCTTGAATTTATTTGTACCATTCAATCACTGCAATAGACGTATTACGTTAGTTATTTTTTGGAAAGTATATTGCATTTGCCTCACTCATTTGTTGAAATGACATAGACGTCAATTTTCTTGTACCATAATATAACAGTACGAAATAAAATTCCTTCACAAAGCAGTTCTTAAATGACCATTTAACAGCCATGGTGTTTTCCTTCTCATATTTGCCATTGAAGTTAAATCATAATTATCCAAAAGGTATTACAGTTCACTGTGGTAAATGTTGGTTGGTTGGTGTTGGTGTATGTGATTATGGCAAAGCTTCGAGGTCTAACTGCCTAAGGGGAGGGATACCTTCATGGAGGACTTTCTGAAGGAAACTGGCTTGTATGCATGTTACATATGGGAAAAAACTACAAAAGCATCCATGCAGGCAACCTGTTCGCAGAATTCAAACCTCAGACCGAACAACCAGTGTTTAGCAACCATGAATGCAGTATTCAAATTAATTTTGTTCTAACTTTACATTCCATTTCTTGCATCAGTGAACAAAAAAATAAATTGTTCATCCTCATCATTGTTTGTGCTTCATTTATTTTCTGTTTTTATACTAAACTCGTCTAACAATTTCAGTGGGAAATTTTAGTCATTCATTTACTCATCTCTTTAATTTTTATAAAGAGTTATAATTCTAATCCATATTATCCAAACACATTTATAAAGCTTACCTCCTTTTTTTTTTGTGTGTGTATGTTTCCTCAATAATAATCTAATTGCCTGTTGTGCTATTTACTTTACTTATGGTGATTGAAGGAATACATGTTTGCAGATTAACTTTCTTTCAAGACAGATTGTATTATTAACCTTTCAAAATACGCTGAGATTTTTCATTTATGATCATCAAATAAAAGTTGTTGACTAATCTTCAGTTTTGAAGCTTTAAGCATGTCGGTTAAGTAAAAATTTTATTTTATCAGAGCTTAATAACAAAAAGATAATTTCATTAATTTAAAAAATATGAATGCTGTATGTGGAGCATCATGTTTGGTTTGTTATATTCCTGTTGTGCATCCAGTTCGCATTACTATAAAAATACAGATTCTTTTTTGCAGAATTACTATCTCTTCCATTTCAATGCAAACAAAACTCTTAATTCTAAAAAAATTATTTATATATATGTATATATAATACATTCAAAAGGAAATACAGTAGTCTCCCAATCCATTTGGTTAATGCATGAGATGTCCAAGCGTAACCCAAAATTATAGTTAATCTGACAGCAGTTTAAAAAAAAAAAAAAAAAAAAAGGAATAGCCTATAGTTTTAGCAATTTAAATGGTTTAATTTTAATTTAAATTAATTTTCTAATGGTTAATTTTATTTTAAATGGTTTAATTTGGGAAATAAGTTAATTTGTTAATGTAGATTAAATCCGCATTCAAAACAAGAACATACTTGAAAACAGAAAAACAAACGTTTTATTACTCTTGTATATTTATAGGAGTTAATGAGAAACAGAAGATTAATAGCTGTACACGTAATTTATTTTTCAAGTTAGTATCTTATTTCTAGTGAGTCATTTAACAATATTTATATCTTCAGAATATATGCAGTTATATGCTGTTGGGTACAAAAATAATTTCCTAAATACTGCAACGTCATCTGTTATCACTGCTGTTATTATTTTCTTCTCATTTTGCCTTTCTCATAGAAATTTTGCTTTAATCTAATGGTTTCTGATAGTACTCCTCCATCATCCCACAGTTAACAAAGTTAAGTTTTTCTGGTTGAAGCCCAATCAATCTGGAACCTGGTTACCTGGGAACTGACTGTGATACGTACTCTTCAAAAACTGGAGTACAACCGTGCTACTGTGGTAAACTGTTACCAGTTTCTTTTATAATAATAACAATAAAAAATTCCCTAGTATATGGCAAATGTTTGTGCTCCCTTTCAAATTTGAGAGACCTGATTTTGAAAAAAAAAAATTAATTTTATTAAATTGTGAGGTTAGTTTTTTTTTACTTCCTTGTACAAAGTAAAAAGGAAGTATTGTAATCGTGAAAAGCTTCAGGCAGCATATTTCAACGAAAATATCCACTTTGACCGCTTTCGAATGCAATTTAACGATGTTTTTGCGTGATATCTGTTCGTAAGGACAGAATAAAAGACTCTTTTCCTCCAAAAAAACTGCTTTAAAATGAATTCTGAAGAGAATTTTTTGTCGCGTCTGTACGAACGTACGTGCATATCTCGAATAACTCAAAAACGAGTAAGAACATTGAAATTTTGTATGTAAGACTACTATAACATGTAGATGTGTACCTCGTATTTTGGTTTCAATCGGCCACACCAAACATGTTCTATTCAACTATATAAATATATTTATAAATATATCCACTCTGTTACCCGGCTCAGTGATCTGTTTCTTTACTCTTATATGTTTGTAAATTGTACATTTTTTGCTTTAAAAATGATTGAATTATGTTGTTTTTATCTTCCGGTTAAGGGTTTTATGCCTTTAGTAAATCTGTATGCAATATTTTTAGAATTATCAACAATTTTAAAATTGTTTAAGTGCCGCTAAGCCTAATTTGATGGCGGCCATTGTTCTTGTTTACATTTGAAACAGCTGAGTAGCGGATTTGTTGCCAATCTAGAGAAACTTAGCTTCGCAACAACAAAGATAACGCCATCATTTATTATTTAAATCGTGCTTAATCCTTTCTGGAATTTTTTCGAGGAAATAAGCGTTTAAGATTTACTTCGTAATTTTTAATACAGATATTTTGAGTTTTTATGTATTTTTGCCTGGTCGCGAAGTGAAAACAGAGTTAATTGAATGAGAAATACTCAATCGTCTGTGAAAAACTGTTTCTTTTTTGTTTTGTTTGCTTAATTTCTTTTATACGTAGTTCTAGCTTTATTATAGTATTTGAATAGAACATGTGGCAACAATTAGATAATTCTTTAAATGATATAAATTTTGTGCATTCTGAGTTGTAATATGAACAAAATATAATACTGTTAAGTAAACCTAGCGCCAGAATGTCGCTATGGTAAACAAAGTGAATTTTAAAGAATGCATTTATTCTATTGTGGTTTATGCGCTGTCGGCGAAGTAGGTTTAATTCAGTCTAATAAGTTTAAATGAAATGCAAGAAAAAATGTGTATAATTTAATATTCTGTACAAAGAAGTCATGTGGTGTACACATCAGATTTTTTTCAATATGGCAAAGCATACTAGGCTATCTGCCCAAAGGAATGGGACCCTCATTAAGTCTTTCTTAGTGTAACTGGCTCATGTTCACATTATGTTACATAGCGACAACATTTCATGACATAGATATATTCCATTTTTGAGTTAAAATAACAATAATGATTATTGGAGGAGTTAAAGCAACAAGAAGTAGCATAATATTAATAAATTTGCAGGGCTAATTTTTAAGACTTAAGTATCAAACTTACTTCTTCAGCTGCAGAAGTGTAAAAGAGAACCAGTGCTGAGGCAGTAAGAATGAGAGGAAGGAAGGCAAGCTACTAGCACCATCTATTGATGAAAAAGAAGTAATTTCCTTAAAAAACGAGGATAAAGACGGATTGCAATTGGGTTCATTAACGGGAACTGAAAGATTTTTATGAATGTGAAGTGCCTCTAGAAAATCTAATTCTCCAGTGGAAGATGTTTTTGAATAATTTTGACTGCAGAAAAAAGGAAAATGAATTTTAATTTTAAAGCCTCTGTTGGTCAGAAGTGCTTCCCCTGTTACTCAGAATATAAATCCTCTGTTGTTCAGAATAAAAAAAAAAACTCCCCCCCCCCATTTATATGTGGTCAAAAATCACATTAACCTTTTTTTTGCAGCCAAAGGTATTCACAATCTATGTTCCATTTGTGAATTAGATTTTCTGGAGGTATTTTGCATTCATGAAAATGTCTAGTTAACGATCCGAATTCCAGTCCATTTATAGACTCGACTTTTAAGGAAATTATTTCATAGTAGTTAAGTTTTCATCAATCGAGGGTGCCAGTAGTTTGACTTCCTTCCTCTAATTTTTATTGCCTGAACACTGGCTTTTCTCTTGTCATGTGGCCCACCAGCGGCTGAGCGGTAAAATTGCTGGTTTTCAACATGTCTAACATGAATATCAGCCAGTCCTTAGAAAATCCTCCACAAAGTCATTTCCCTTAGGCAAATAGCCTTAGTGGTCTTTGCTGTAATCTCAATAACCTGACCAACCTGTTTCATCATTTGCATTTCTGAAGCTGAAGAAAATTCCATATTTAAACCTTCAAAAGTAGTCATACGAATTTATGATTATTACACTTATTTTTGTCACTTCTCCAATAATAGGTATATCTACTTTTTAAATTCTCATCAGTATTTCATTGAATGTAATGTAAGGGAAAAGTAAACAGTGCCACCCTTTATTTAGCATCATTTATATGTAGAATTTTCCTTCCCTTAAATTAATATAGAAAAGATCTTTTGTTAGGTAAAATGTTCTGTTATTAAGTTCCGTTCTTAATTTTTGTAAGCTGAAGTTTGTTTATTTTCCCTTCTTTTTCTAGGTTGAACCGTCTGAAGTTCTATTTCTTGTTGCTCTCTCAGCTAGCTTTTTGGTTGTTTTAAGTTTGGTAAGTATTTTTCAAAGCTCTATATTCTTTAAATTTACTTTCAGTGTATTTTTTGTTTTTGGCACATAAAATAATTTTCTTTTAGGTTCATTATTTGATGTGTCTTTCTGCAAATTATGCACGTATAAAAGACAATGAAAAATTCCAGGAGCTTCAAGAAATGCAATATTTACAAGACACTGAAATGGGAACATTGTCCAAGGACAGATTTTAATATTTATGTATATACATTTGCTGTATATTCATATACTTTACTACTTTTAAGATCACTGTTAAGAATTCTCCATTTTATAAACTGTACTTGTATATTTATTGGAGGAAAACTTTTTTAAACCTGTTTTGTTGAGCACTTAAATGACAATGATCTTTCATATGGTTCCAGGTAAAGAATATGATATACATACATTTTTATATGCATTCTTAGAATCTATGCTAAATATTATGCAATTTTTGTGCATTTTTGTGTAGTTTGCATTTTGATTAAATTCACTCTTAGTGCTGGCATATATGATGTTAAGTATATATTTACAAAGTACTTGCTATGTGTACATTTTTCTGTACACTGTTTAAAATTATAAACTATTTTAATGCAATTTTAGTAGCTTCTTGTTTTGGGGAAATGTATAGAGCAATCGTATATACTTTTATGTTTATATGTACGTAAAAGCTTTAAACTGTGCATATATGTAGTCTTTACTCGCAATATAAACATTTCATTCTTAGCACAATGGATCACAAAATATTTTTAATGTTAACTTGTACTTGCAATGTCGTTTTTTCATATTAATATTCAGTTTTTTAGCATGCATATAGCTTCAGTGCTCTTCTGATCAGCTGTTCTTTCCCATATTGTCATTTTGCAGCTTCCCGATTTTTTTTTTTTTTTCCATTATATGAATTTTTTATTTACTGTATTCATATAAAAGAATATTCCTCAACATGCGCTTCTTTTGAAACTGTTCTGTTAGTATTATTTTATAAATGATAATGCTGCTAAAATGTAAACACGTAATTAGATTTCTTAAACAACTACTTCTGTTATGAGGAGCTGTATAAAATCATATCTACGAAATGAAAGGAAAATAATACGGAAAAGTGTCTTTACAAAATGTGATAGTTACAACATTCGCAGTGAAAGTTAAAATGATAATTATGATGTTCACAGTGGGATGTTTCTAATCCTTGTTTTCAAGAAGTTGTCTTTCATTCAGTAATTATCATTTGCAGATTGCTTTCACCCTTTTATAAAGGCATATATGTTGTGAGAATTTATGTTAACTACAAATTGTGTGCTGCAAACTATATACTACAAATTAGTGATCATAATCATTTTATGCAAACTTTTAGAAATTTACTTACTAAAAACTTTTAGACTTTTAGCATTGATATCCTGTTTTACAGTAGATGAAATTAATGTATTCTGCCGTATGTCTGTAAAGTCAGGAAACTTTGACTTCAAATATTATATTGCATCTTCTTTTTACCTTCATGTCTTACATTTCCATACGTTATGTGGGAAAGTTTTACCTACTGTTTCAGTATTTCCTGGAATTGTTTGTTAATGTTTCTAGTGTATTACCAAAAACCCAAGAAGTTTTGCCCTTGCTACTTATTGCCAAAAAGAAGATAAATGATGTTTGCTTAACTTAAACCGGGAGTGTGATATGCATCTAATCTTTTTTGTGGTTTTTATTATTATTCCGTGTTATCTGCTTAGCATGAAAAGTTACTCATTTTTTTTAATTTATAAAATTAGTTCATTTTCGAACAACTTTGATTCATTTTAAGAACACTCTGGAATGAGAAATGCATATGTTAAATATTGTTTTCGAAAGTAATCTTGGTGTTATAAGAAAATTTTTAAGCTAAGTTATTACTGATATTTTGTATTTTTCTTTTAAGATATTTAAAACATAGTAAATATTTCATTACATTTTATTCTAAACCATAAGTTTTCATTTTAGATCTTTTGTTTCTATTAGTAAAGTTTTTTTTAAATTGAGAATAAATCAGTTATCGTTATATTTCCTTGTATTATAAATTGATGTAACTTAAAATGTTCCTCTCAAAAAGATGTAAATAACTGAAATTCAGAAGTTATCTTTAGTAATAATTGTTTTGTATATATAAGGTGTAACAAAACTGTTGGCTACAACTTCAAGGGGTGACAGAACATAGCAAAAGTAACAATTTTCATGTGAATGTGGAAGCATGATAAGTACAAAACATGAAAAGTTATTTTAATCACAGTTTGTTTACAATAGTTCAAAAGAACAACCATTAGCTGCTATACATTTATCACAACCATGACTAAGTGATTGGGGTTGTATTGGATTAACCCATAAATACTGAAGTTTTTTTTTTTAATAGTACATCTTTATTTTTCAAAATTAAAGAAAATTATTTTCAAGTCTGAAATATATTCCTCTTTATCCTCTATTAATTCTTCAACAGTTTTGATAGAATTTCGGTTCAATAGGGTTTGCAGACTTTCCAGGACAAGCTCGTAGTTTTCAGCTAGGAATTTCTGAAATCACTGTTGACACTGGCCAGCACTTCTTGTCTGAATTTCATATGCAGCATTAATATTCGTAATAACAGTTATTTGAATTTTTAAAGCAAAATATGCTGAATATGCTTTTCTCTCTCCATATTATAACTTTGAAAAATAACCATTAAAATCGAACTTCTCTTCAGAACTTGCGTTAAGAGTAAGAATGAGGTAAAATTAGTACTTGCCTTTATAGCAAATTGCTCCAAGTAGATTATCACCCTCCCAAATTTTCCTACATGTACTTTAATTGAAAAAAACTATTATTTATGGGATAACCCAATACTTTGGACGATATCAATATGTCATATAGTTTCATTGCAGTAACACTAATTCTGGCAACAAGGTTTTTAGCAGTGAGTATGCTATGCATCTCCTAAAAATCCATCATCATCATGATGCAATTGTTGCAGTTGTTAGATATCATTTGAGCAATTGTAAATATCCATGATTTAAACAACTTCTCATTTTCTTTGTTCTTCATGTATGCTTTATTTCTACTTTCACATTCTATCATACACTATATTACAAAAATTGATATTTAGGCAAATACTGTTACATCTTGTGCATTTGTTCTAAATTTGTCCTCCCCTCCCACATATCGATGAATAATTTTCATGCTCGAGTTCTTTGCTCAGTTTTTTTAGAGTCTGAATTATTCTAATATATAGAGAATTTACATCAATGCATATTTAATACTTTGTTTCATTTATTTTGAATTGTTTTAAAACTTTATAAATGCTAAATCTGTTTCATTATATAATGTTCAGACACTGTTTAATTCAGGCATGGAAGTAGTACTGAGGAATGTGTTTGATTTATTAATATGCTTTAAAGAAAAGTTTTTTGTTGTTTTAGGTAGTTTATTATTATTTTAGTGATAGGTTATTTTTATGTACTATAATAGCCTTCCCACAAGTTTGCTATATTATTTAAAGTTAACTTTTGTTATGTTACTTTGAAGTATGAGTTACCAAAATGTTATGAATATACTCATCATATTCTAGATATGAATTTAATTCCGTCCTTGCACTTTCCATGATCAGATATCATATACTGTTAACACTCAAACATTTACTCAGAATATATTTTCTAAACATTTTGTGATTTTATGTGATGTGAAATGATTTTGTGTACTATGTTACATTTGTTTAAGAAATGTAATCTTTTAAGCTCATTCCATGTATTATTTGATTAATAAATTGCCATTGTTTTCATGTCTGTGAGATCTGGGGCATTTCACTGGAGAATTCAGTAGTATAAAGCAGTAATTACTATTTCTACAAGTAACTTAAACTACTGAAGACTCTTTCCATAGTAGAGAAGTGCCCTGAAGATGTATAATAATGTCATCTAATTGCTGGGTGCCCTGAAGCTACGTCATTGTGTGTCATGGTATCATCTAATTGTCATATTTTTTATTACCAGCAGCTATTTTAAAATAAAGTATGAAAAGTTATGTCATTTTTATAGTGACAGGCTGTTTATTGTAGATAGCTAACTGTGATTGTGTGTTTCTTTTTCTATAAATACCTGATTTCAATTATTTACATATTCAGAATTCCATGTCTCTGATAGTTCTTATTTTATTTATAGGTATATTTTATTTATATGTATTATATATAAGCTTTTATTTTATATTTGTTTATATAAAATCTTTTGTGTGCTGATTAAAAATGTCTGAATGTGGTTTTACATGTATGTAACAAATCCAAAATATTAACAGACTAAAATGTATAGAGCTGAAGTAATATGAGGTAGAATATCTAAATTTATGTTTGCTATTGAAAGAAAATTATGTAATAAAATGGATTTTTCTCATCAGATGTCAGTGTGACAGTTGATAGAAATGAATAAACAACAGAAAAGAAATAAGTGCATGATTAATTAGCAGTAAATTGCAGTTTTATGAAATTTGAAATAACGAGTTAACATTACACTGTAATAAACCTATAATATTAATTCATTTCTCTTACATGTGTATAAAAATTGAAAGATATTTATACACATGTAAGAGACGTATATAAAAATTGAAAGATGGAAAGATGATCATTATTGGCATTATTTTAATAATAAGAGAATTTAATAGTATTTAATTTGTATTTCATATTTACCAAGCTGTTTGAAATTACTTCTCTCCTTTAAATTTTGTATTAAGGTTTTATTTTTAATTTGATTTATTTATTGTATATAGTATTTTTTTTTTAAATCTTTAATGCAGCTGTCTCCTTAAATTTACTCCTAAATAGTCATGCTATTATTAATTTTATTCTATTGCTGCTCTCCCCTCCCCAATTTTATCAATTGTCACAATGGCTGTTGTTGAAGGAAATTCATTTTGTTAATTTCTAAAGCAAACTTAATTTTTTTTAATAATGTTGTATAATATTCTAGTTTGGATCAGTTTTTTATCGAGCTATTGAGATGTTTTCAAAACATATAAACTCCACATTATTCTTAAATTATGCAGTACTGAGTGGTATACATTTATATTTAGCTTGTTATACTGTATGTACTCTTTTCACCATATTATTTTATTAACAAGACTTTCTTCAGCATAACTATATTTGATTTTTTTTATTTCAGTCATAAAAAAAATGTGAATTTTAATTTATATTTTACAGTAAGCTGTTCTTTAAAGTATACTATTAACACATATAATACAGGTAACATCTTGTACTCTTGTGTTTAATATCATAATCCCTTTGTAAAATATTCAGTAATGAAATACTATGAAATGTTTTAATAGCAAAAATGGAAATTTTTGTTGAAATCTAAAAGTAATTGCAATGACTGTTACTGTGGTTGCAAAAGCAATTGCAATAATTGTTACTCATTACTGTCGTTGAACTATTTTATTTAGTAGTGTATTTCCTTTCCCCTCTTTTTTTTTTTTTTTTTTAATATAAGTGGTAGTTCGCATATTAAATCTGGGTTTAACAAGCTGTACTAGCTTGTCATTTTGGACTTATGTAATCTTCATACATATTTACTGCTGGCTGATTGTTTCATTGTAGGATATTTAGTATTATCTTTCAGAAATGAATATGGATTATTCTGTGTTTTTTTTAACCTGTATCATTTTGATGTATAGCATTCGTTAAAAGATACATGTTCTGTTCCGTCCATCATTGTCATATAAAACTGGCATTTAATAGAATGTTTTCATGAAATGTATCTGTTTAATCGAGAAAAATAAGCATTATCTGTAAGCCTTCTTCAGTTCTTATGAATTTATTGAAAAACCAATTTTTTTCCTTTCAGTAAAATTATGAACTTCCATTAGAAATATTGTTAATAATATTATGCAGAATCTTTGTATATTACTAAATCTTTAAAGATCTCCTCTTTGTATGTATGTTTTTGATAAAAAGTTAATTGATTTGCTTTTAATTCATTAAACTGCAGAATGAAATATATAATCCTAGTCTAAGATCTTTAAGCAAAAAATGTCTTTTTAATAGTCTCTTATTAATTCCATTTTTCAAGAAAGTAGTATGCAGCTTGTAAATTATAGGCTATAATCTATATTCTTTCCAAATTGTTCCTTGATCATTTAGAATAGACTGTGTTGTAATGTAGTAACTGTAATACTAGTTTTAAATATTTCTGGCATTTTAGAATGCATGACCGATGTATAAGAAGTATAATTAATTTACAGACCTGTAAAATTTTTCAGTGCAGTGGGAAGGAATTCAGTATAATGAATTATTTCATTATGCAGTTTTGGATGTTATTCTTTTCTCAAAAGCATCCAGAATAAATCTGTGAATGTTTTAAGTTATAAAAGGGAATATGCTTTTAACAACTTAAACATGAATTTTTTTCCTGATAGTTCAGATTGTGTAAGTTCAAGTCAATGGTGCTGCATTCCAGTATTTTACCATCGTCTTGTATTATAGGAGATTAATTTAAAAGATTAAATTCTAAAGAAATTAAATATTCTGATATCTTAATAACATAGAAATACATGCTATTTAAACAAAAAAAAAAACAAAAAAAAAAATTGTCAAGGAAATTTGTATACTAAATTGATCATATTGTGAATAGATTATTTTTATGCTGTTATGTATCAAACTATTTGAGGATATTTGAAGATTTTGTCTGTGGAAAATATTATTTTCCCTCCTCAGAAAAAAAGAAAATTTCTTTTCTAACTCAAGCAAAGAACAAAGTGTAGAAATGTTAAATACTGTCGTAAAATTAGTGTAGTTTGTACATTGCAATAAATAAGACAGTTTCCAAAGTTAATTATATGTACATTTTTAATAAAAACAATGAAGTCTCTCTATTAAGTGTATCGACCTCTTTGTGCCTAAAAAGTGTGTGCGACAATGATTGCTTGTTTGTCTTATTAGAATATTCTGAAAGATGGAAAACTGCCTTCATGAGTAAAAATATTATCCAAGTATCTAGGAATGTCAAATTGTTTGCTATATAGCTTTTATATAAATGTTAGGACAGTTTTATAAATATATGTTGTTTTTGTAAAGCACAAAATTTGTTGCAGGCAGCTTTGTCTAACTGGACATAATCACTACAATTTGGAAAATAAAATTTTACAAGCATATATTTTGCTCTTATTGTTTTCATTTGTGTAAAATGTGTATCAACTGTCAAACAGGTTGGAGTTTTTGTGAGTTAGTGTAATTTAACACTGATATTATTTTAAATATGTAATATTCTAAAACTTTGTCATGTTTCATTGCTATAATGTTTATAAGGTATGTGCATCTAAAGATTCCTGTTCAAATCATGCATGGTAAACTCAAGATCAGAAAGAGGACCCAATTCAGCTTGCATGCATTACAATTTCAAAAGGATGCTATGCTTTTTTAAAAAGGACAGGGTTGTTTCCCCTCTTACTCTCTCTATTCTTCCCATACAAAAACCATTTCTGTCATTTAACAAAATCTTATCTATGTAGTCAAGTCTCAAAACAGAATTGAAATGAACAAATAAATATAACTAAATTAGCTCATTGCGTTCTTTTATACGTTTTCCAATGTGATACCATATTTTTTGTCTCTGCCAGCAATGACTTCTATTAGGTGCCTGGGAATGTTTTAGCCATTTTAGAATGTGGCCAAAAATCTTTTCATGAAACACTCTCAAAATTTCAACTCTAGAATGTATATATGAAATGAGAAAAAGTGCATTAAGGTAAAATGGATTCTTTGAATATGAGCTCACATGTCTCGTTAAGTAAATGCTTTGTTTGCATCTGTGTGGTTTCTGATCCAGATTTAGTGCTCCCAAACAACAGCATTGCTATGATCAACTACCTGCACGCATTTGGCTTTAAAGACCAACTTTCAGAAGTCAAGTGGTCTCTGGCCACTGGCAATCAGTTTATAGAATCCTCAGCTGGTCTGCTGCCTTATGAATATTCAGTTCAGTTCCATCACCACAGAGAATGAAGAATGGCAGCTTTGTGTCAGTGAAAGGGTTCAGTTTGAAATAGGTTCAAAAAGAAAACCACCTTGGCTTTAGTCAGAACATATTTATATGATGATTGTTTCGGCCACCAGAGTCGTCTGCCTGTCTGTGAGATATTATTTCGCAATGCGCAGCTCGCATTTTGTTTTTGCATTCTTGCAAACACTAATTGTAACTTTCGCTTTACTTTTTGCTGTGTTGTTGTTCTGAAGTTGAAATCGCTGAAAATAAGTCAAGCTATGGTCTACTCGCATTGATGTATTCTTATGTTTATTAATTTAAATTTAAGGTAACGCTACACTACATTAATTTGGTCATCATACACCAGAGATTCTTGAGGAAAAGGCTTGCTTGCGAAAAAGAATTCTGCATCTCAGTGGAGTAGCAAGCATAACTGGCTCCCGGGAAAAATACCTTTTCCTTTGTTTCAAAGAATTTGTTTTCAAAATTATGTTTTTGTAAGGACTGGATTTTCATATTTTGTCAATTTTCTTTGACTTTTTGAGTGAAAATAGGTCGATGTGTACATGGATAAAGTCATGAGAGTGCGCAAAGCCATTTTTGTGCAATTCTGGGATGTTTTTTAAGTGAAAATAGGTCGATGTGTACATGGATAAAGTCAAGACAATGTGCAATGCCATTTTGTGCAATTCTGGGATGTTTTTTTAAGTGAAAATAGGTCAATGTGTACATGGATACCGAGTTTGTGCAATTCTTAAAAACGCGTCAAGTAGTGGGTTATTCTGCACTTTCCCCAATTTTTTTTATAGGTGAATGTATTTTAATTCTTCAATGTTTTGTAACGATTTCAAGTTTTTGAAGCTTACTATGTTTTCTGAACCATGTTTGTTTTTTAAAATTATTAAGCTGTTTTTAAAGGATTTTCAGTTTTTGAAATTTGCTTCAACTTTTATTTTGTATTTATTTTAACTGTTCGCCATTGTAAATGTCGCGCCTTGCGTAGTGTCTTCTGGAGGGGTTGCAAATCCAGGAGACAAGAGGCGAGAGCGCGCGATTTTGAAAACGCGCCAAGCAGTGGGCGATTCTGTACTTTTCCCCAAAAACTAGTAAAAACCCCTGAAGTATATCAACAATATACATAATTCATGCCCTAATATTTATCACTTGGACACATGGAAGAATTATTCGATGATAATCTAGATAAAGTAAATTTTTTGTTATTATATACCTTATTGTTACGTAATGTATATAATATGAGGGAAAATCGTAACGCCACCACTATTAACTAGGTGCACCCTCTAGCGTGGTGGATGTACGTATAACATCTTTGCTCAAGCTCCAGCAGCTAGCGGAGTGTAAAACTTTTGTCCAATGCAAACTGTGCAACGAAAATAACTTCATTTTTTTTAACTACAGTCCACTATTTCATAATCAAACCTCCGTAACGTTTGGTCCTAGCGACCCGGAGGTCTTAGTGCATTAAGTTAAACATTTCAAATCGTAAGAACAATGGCGACTGAATCAGCCATTACAATGCTGAATCGCAAACGTGGGAATATAAAAGGACAGTTAAAGAATATTACTATATGTGAGGATAATAAAAATATCTCCGAGCTACAAGCTCAGTTGGATGTGATTTCGAAACTTCAAGAAAAATTTGATCTTCTAAAGGAAGAATATTACACTCATCATCACGTGCTAAAGGAATCTTACCACAAAACTACACGTCGTTTTCAATGCTAGTGCCAAAACTACATCAGGGATATCGCTTAATGACACGCTAATGAATGGTCCCAAGGTTTACAAGACGACTTATTTACTATTCTTTTGATGTTTAGATGCTATCCCATAGCCATTACTAGCCACTTATTGAAAATGTATCGACAAGTTCAAATTCATGATGAAAATCGCGATTACCAAAAAGTATTGTGGAGAAATGGTCCATCGAAGCCAATTAAAACTTACACGTTGTGCACAGTTACGTACAGCATTACTTCAGCTTCATACCTGGCTACTCGCCTACTCAAACTAACAATTGACGAAGGAGCTAAATTCCCAAAGGCAGCTGAGATAATATTACATAATTGTTATATTGATGATGTCCTATTTGGTTCAGACACAGTAGAGAACGCCGTAGAGTTAATTTCACAACTGAGTGAACCTTTACAAAAATGCATAAATGGTATTCAAATGATCGCTCGATTTTAAAAACTGCATTGAATGCTCAGAAAGCTAAGTCTTCATGCACAAAACGTTGATACTAAATCAATAAAATTATTGAGTTTGGAGTGGTATCCAATGCAAGACGAGTTTACTTTTCACTTTGAAAATCTTGAGAACAGAAAGCATTCTACTAAAAGAATGATTTTGTCTTCTATTTCGTAAATCTTTGATCCACTTGGTTGGTTAGCACCTTTCATAATTGCAGCAAAAATCTTGCTTCAAGATATATGGAAATTAAAAATCTCGTGGGTTCCCTTACCAAATGAAATCAATGATGGAAAATTTATTGTGAAGATATTGCAAATCTTGAATGCATTCGTATTCCTAGGAGAGTATTATTGCACAAAGCTACAAAATTGTTTCTGTGACGAATCGGAGAAAGCTTACGCCGCAGTGATTTATTTAAATTCTTCAAATAATTCTTCAGTTTCGGTTCAACTACTAACATCAAAGACTCGTGTAGCTCCCCTGAAAGTAATTTCCATTCCTCATTTAGAACTCTGCTCTCCAGTTCTATTAGTGCATTTGGTTCAAGCTATGCAGAATTCATTGCAAATTCATGTTGACGATATTTACGCGTGGAGTGATTCAATGATAGTTTTGTCATTAATACAATCAGAACCCACACGCTGGCAAACCTTCGTTGCCAACCGTGTTTCAGAAATTCAATCAGTCTTAACATCATCGCATTAGAATCACATAAAAGGGAAGGAGAATCCAGCTGATTGCGCATCAAGAGGTCTTCGCCCACCAGCGGCCGAGCGGTAAAGTCGCTGAACACTGGTAGTTCGTTCCAAGGTTCGAATCCCGCGAACGGACTGGCTGCATGGGTTTTTTCGTGGTTTTCCCCATGTGTAACTTGTATACGAGCCAGTTTCCCTTAGAAAGTCCTCCACGAAGGCATCCCTCCCCTTAGACAGATAGCCCTAGTGTGCTTTGCCATAATTAAATACACCACACCACACATCAAGAGGTCTTTTGCCTTCAAAACTTTCTACTCATGACTTGTGGTGGACAGGTCCTTAGTGGCTTAATTCAAATAATATTCCATTCTCTATCAGCTTACCATTTTCAGAAGAGTCTTTAAAGAAACAACGGAAAAATGTTTCTTGTTCTATTGGAACAGTCGTTTCGCAAATTCCAGTCCTGAAGTAGTGCTGTACGTTAAGTTTGATCATTCTTAAAACTTAAAAGAATCATCGCATGGTGTTTTCGGTTTGCGAATAATTCAGCTAAATCTACCGCAACAAGGATTAAGGGTTACCTTAAAACCGAAGAATTTCAATTAGCTAGAAATGCAATTGTTAGAATAGTTCAAAGGAATGAATATAATCTTCTGAAGGAGAACCAACCATTTCAATAGAAAGATCTTTTTGACCCTTTATCAATAATGTTATGTTACATAAGACGTTACGTTCGAACAATGGCTAGCTCAGAAGGGATTCGTAAGTCATCTACCCGATGAATTAACAGCTATCTTGTCATAAATGGAGCACTTCAAATCATTAAACTTAAGCAAAAAGGTTTATTTACACATAAAGACAAGTTAAAAGAATAAAAATATTTATCTAGCTACAATATCTATCTAGCCACATCATGCAAACATCGTCCTTAGCTATCTAAGCCGCAACTGTTCGTTTTTCCTCTGGCGTCCCATGACGTCAGTCTCTATCTGGCTTTTGATTCGCTGGCGTAGTGATGCCATTCCCAACATCCTCCCCCCTTTGAGTTGCTGGATAGCTACTCAAAACATTCAAGTCTATCAAGCTCAGTCTAAGTGGCATCTTAACAGTTCTACCAGCTCGTGTCTTTATAGTCTTAGAACTGTCACATACATCGGAAACATCAGTGGGGTCCGGAGATCGGGGTGACCCAGAAATTTCTGAATGATGAGAGGTACGCAAGTCGTCTCCACGATGAGAAACTGAAGACTTTACAGCAGATTGATGTTTTTGAGGATCACTTGGATGACATGAACCTGACAAATCATCATCTTGGATTTCTAGAGGAAACACTCGTTGTATCGGACGTACTAAATTGTTAGTTTGCGTTCTTAATCTAACTGTTCTCACTTTACCGTCTTTTCCTGGAATCAGTTCCGTAACCCTGGCTAAAGGCCAATTCAATCTCTTTTTGATATCATCTCCTATCAACACAACGTCATTCACTCGAATATTTGGAAATTGTGAATTTTGCTGTCGTTTCTGAATAAGTAGTCCTAAATATTCCTTTCGAAAACGTACTCGGAGATCTTCCATTAACTTTGCACGAAATCTGATTCTTTTCCTCCTGAGATGATTGGTGTCTACTGTGTCTATATCAGTTACATCTAAATTGGATCTATCGGTCAAAAACATGGCAGGTGTAAGTGGAAATAAGTCTTCTGTATCTTCGGATAAATATGTCAAGGGTCGCGAATTTACTACCCTTTCACATTCGCACATAACTGTTTCCAGTTCTTCATAGGTAAGAACAGCTTTTCCCAATGTTCTCCTAAGGAGTTCTTTGACTACTCGAACAAGTCTTTCCCACCATCCGCCCCACCAGGCAGCAGTGTGGGGGGGGGATGAATTTCCATTCGATCTTCTGTATTTCTGTTTGTCGAGTTACTTTACTCCAATCAATTTCTAACAAATTATTATAAGCTCCCCTAAAGTTTGTACCGTTGTCTGTATAAACCACTCTAGGTCTTCCTCTTCTAGCAACAAAACGTCTAAATGATAACAGAAAAGCATCAGTGGAAAGCGATGTTATTAACTCTAAATGAATTGCTCTATAAAGAGCACACGTGTAGAGAACCATCCATACTTTGTCCCCACGTTTTACAAATAGGGGACCAGCCAAGTCAATACCAACTACTTCGAAAGCTGCTGCATTTTCCACTCTATCAGCAGGTAAGGAAACTGGTTCAGTGATGAGAGATTTAGTTTTGTATCGTCGACATTTAATACAGTCCTTCAGAACACTACGTATCGCTCTTCTTCCTCTTGTAATCCAGTACTTTTCACGCAATATGCTTAGTAATATCTGGGTTCCAGCATGACAGTTTTCTCGGTGAAAATATTCAATCAGTCTTTGAGTAAAGATACATTTATCAGGAAGAAGAATAGGTGAAATGAAGAAAGGCTTATCTATGCGTTCAGTAATTCGAGTTTTAACTCTGATAATTCCGTTCACATCTTTGAAAACACACAAGTTCCGAATAGAGGTTTCACTAGGAAAAAAATTGAGCTTGCACATTACGAATAAGCAGAATTTCAGCATTTTCAATCTCCTGCGTTAGAAGTTCTCCCCCCGTCTAGTATCATGACGCGATCTTACATTACTGATAAATCTCAATATCCATGCAACCATTCTAACTATTGAATGGAAATTTGAGAATTTAATGGCATACCACGGGACTCTCTCTTCCGACAAATTAATATTACATAACCTAACCTTTCTCCTTTCAAGTGTTATTTCGGGTGTTTCCGTTATCAATATTTCGGTATCAGGCCAGTTGTCTGTTGTTTGCAACAACCATGCCGGGCCTTTCCACCAGCAGGATTCTAACAATTTCTTAGGGGAACACCCTCGCGAAATCAGATCAGCGGGATTCATTTTCCCTGGCACATGTCGCCATTCATTATTAGGAAACAGATTATTTATTTCTTTTACTCTGTTCGAGACAAAAACTGTCCAATCACCACGTTCTTTTAACCAGTATAAAGCTACCCTAGAGTCGCTCCAAAATATTGTTTTAATCTCATGGGCGTTTAAAGCCTGCTTCACTGAATATGCCAACCTGGCACCAATGCAACAAGCCATTAACTCTAACCTAGGGATCGTTACTTTCTTCAAAGGTGCAACTCTGGTTTTTGCTCTAACAAAGTAAATTTTTACCCCTTGAGAGGTTCTCGTTCTAAAAAAAATACAGGTGGTATATGCCTCTTTGCACGCATCTACGAAAACATGCATCTCAGTGGAATAATTTTTTTTTTTATTTCAACATAACGTGAGATTTCGATATCTCTTAATGCGTCTATTTCTCTAAACCATCTTTTAAAAGACATTTGAATATTATCTGGTAAGGGAGTATCCCACTTTAGATTTAAATTCCACGTTTCCTGCAATAAAAGCTTAGGTGGTAAGATTGCAGGACTCAACAGACCTATTGGATCAAATATTTTCTGAACTGTAGCTAAAATGATTCTCTTAGTAAAATTCTGATCTTCACTTACAAGATTAAAGTTTAAATTACACTTAAGAGTGTCCTTATCAAGATCCCACAAAATTCCCAATACTTTCGTGACACCAGTACTATTAGAAACATACTTACATTTTACATTACTCTCCCAGTTTCTTAAGTTAAAGCAACCCCGTGACAAAATATCTTTTGCATTTACAATAAAATCTTCCTGCTCCTCAATATTTGCAACACCAGAAACACAATTATCTACGTAAAAAGAATGTTTCAGTTTTTGTGCTATAGCATCAAATTCAGATGGTACATTATCTAATAAATGTGTAATTGAGGCTGCTAATAAAAATGGACTCGACTTTAACCCAAATACTACTCTGCGATGTCGGTAAACAATCTGTTCACTCTCGGACGGATAAAAAACCGCAAGAAATCTCTATGTTGAGGGGCTATACTTAGCATCAGAAATGCTTTCTCAATATCTGAAGATAATCCTATTGGATGAATTCGAAACCTATCAAGTATGTCTGGAATTATTTCTAGTAAGTTCGGACCCTTATACAAAAGGTCGTTCAAAGAGCATTTACCACTTTCTCGGGCTGACGCGTCAAAGACAGGTCTGATTTTTGTAGTGGTACTGTCCCCCGTCTCAATATTATCAGTTACCTTTTCAATTATATTCAATTTTTCCCATTCCCGGAAAATCGTAGTATATTCTTCTAAAAATGCTTTATCTTGTGCTCGCTGGCACATCCTTTTATGCCGCTTCCAAGTTAAATCTTTATTTGTCGGCAAATCGGCCACATCAAATTTAAAATGTAAACAAAGTTCATATCTACCGTCCGAAAGAATTTTCACATTATTTTTAAAAACTCTTCCAAAACTCTAGAATCTTCTAAATTCTTTCTATTATTTTCAATGGAGTCTGAAATACCTATGGATTCTAAAGACCATAAATCTTTTATCGAATAATTACTAACATACAACGAAATTGCATTCAAAACAGTGTCATCATTGCTATCTCCAAATGACTCATGCTTCCCAGTTAACACGTCCCAAACAAGTGTCAATCAAAACCCTGACTCCAACCGAACAGATTTATTAGTAAATAAAGCGCCCACAATATCCGCTCCCCAAAGCCAGACCGATCTCACGATCAGAAAAACCCAAATCAGACAAACTGACGCCTCTATCTTTCAGTTCATTAAGAATTTTACTATCGTTCACTTTTGGCACTGTGCCACAAATTTTTGCTCTCGGAAAGTGCTTCGATTTGAAAGGAGAAAGTTTCATCTAATGCCGAATGCCGAAATCAACAAATATAAACATCGTGAATCTGCGTTCGCGTTTCTCTTCCCCCGAATAACGAATGCTTCAATTTAATTTGCCTTAATGGTTTTAAATTTAAATTCTCTACTAATTTTTTACTGACATAACGAATGCTGAGAACCTGTATCCAGTAATGTGCGTACTTTAAGCTCAACATTCTTAAATTTAATTTTAACTATTAGAGTCATTAAATAAACATTTTCTATTTTACAGTTATTAGTTAATGTACTGGTTTTCAGTTACGTCCCTTTAGACTTTTCATTTGCGCTTTTTTCTTGGCGATTGGGGACACATTAAAGAATGGTGATTTTTATTACAGTACATGCAAGAATTTTTTACTCGACATGTTTTAAAAAAGTGTGTCCAAATCTGAAACATCCAAAACAGGCCCCTTTTTTAATTAATATATTTTTTTTCTAATGTCATATTTCTAGAAAAACATTCTTTAGTTGGGTGCCGTTTTTCACTAAAGAGACAGTAAATTGCGATTACCTGGGCTCTCAGAATTTGATGTACTTACTAACGCAGCTGCCTTGACGAATTCTAGATTTTTATTTAGTGTATCCTTTTTTTTAGAAATATGATTAGAACCAAACGCAGTGCGGGCTAACACGACCATTTCTTCTCCTTTCACTTCTTGTTTCAGAAAATTCATTAAATTTTCAAGGCATCGGTCATCAGGCTGAGGTGCTTCTTTTAAATTTCTGTTTCTCTCCCAAGCAATTAATACTTCTTCGGGCAGGCAGGATTCAACTAAAGGCGTTAAGAAATCACCATACTTCTCTTGCGTTCTTCCAAGACTTTCTAAAGCTCTAATCTTGGTTTCTAAATCATCGTAGAGAGTGGGAAGATCCGTCTTCACACGTCCACTGCTTGCATTACGCATAACCATGCTTAGAAGATCTCTGACGTATATCTGTACAAGTAAGTCTTCTCTTCCAAACCTCTCTCGAAGCTGGGCGATTGCTTTCGGATAATTCGACGCCGTTGCCGGAAAGCTCTCCACTACCCGTGCGGCTTTGGACTGAGGAACAACTGCTTGCAGGAGGTACTGGAATTTATCTTCATCTGGAATCGTCGGATCTTCATGGATCTTCGAAAACTGGCTCCAAAACGTCAAAAATTCTTTTGCTTCGCCGTTGAATTTCTTTAGTTCGATCTTCGGCAGTTTAAATTTGCGCTTCTCTGGTAATTCAGTAGGTAAAGGATTCTTCAATAGCTTTTCGATTTGAGAACACAGTTTAAAATATTTATCTCTATAAGGCTCAGACGAAATAAAATCTTCTTCATATAGCTTTTCAACTTCTTTAGATTGTAGAATTAGCGACGTTACTTCCTTTTGACAAATTTCAAGTCGATTAAACTTGTCTCTAAGCTGTTGTTCCAGAATCGAAAATAGCTTCAAATCAGTAAATATCTGATTTCAGTTCTGCATCAATTTTGTTTGCACATGTGGCAAAGGAAGTTCTTAGACATTTTCGTTCGGTTTTCAGTTGTGTAAGCTCCATTTTCAATTTATTTCAGCTGTTATCGCGCCCCACGTCTTGGCGCCACAAATGTTATGTTACGTAAGACGTAACCTTCGAACAATGGCTAGCTCAGACGGGATTCATAAGTCATCTACCCGATGAATTAACAGCTATCTTGTCATAAATGGAGCACTTCAAATCATTTAAAAGGCAAAAAGGTTTATTTACACATAGGTACAAGTTAAATGAATAAGAAATATTTATCTAGCTACTATATCTATCTAACTACATTATGCAAACATCGTCCTTAGCTATCGCTATCTAAACCGCAACTGTTCGTTTTTCTCTGGCGTCCCATGACGTCAGTCTCTATCTGGCCTTTGATTCGCTGGCGTAGTGGTGCCATTCCCAACAATAAGAATGGACTCGGAGGAAGATTAAGACAAGCCAACATCGCGCAGGACAGAAAATATCCTATTTTGTTGCCCAAGAAATATCACATAACCCAAATTATAGTGAATCATTTTCATGAATCCCATCTTCATGCTAGCCCCCTGCTATTGCTATCAGTGATTAAAAGAGAATAATGGATAATGCACGCTAGGTCAGTTGTAAAGACAACAGATTTTCAAATGTATGAAATGTCATCGTGTACGAGCTAAAACATCTACCTAGATAATGTCTGACTTACCATCGTGTAGAGTCGTTCCGTCAAAGGTTTTCTCCAAGGTTGGAATTGCCCGGCCATTTCAAGTGAAGCCCAGGCAAGGTAAAGGAGTAAAACCAATGAAATGCTACATTTGTGTATTCGTGTTTTATTACAAGAGCTATACATATTGAATTAGTAGGTAATCTAACATCAGAATCATTTATTGCCACTTTGAAGCACTTTTTATCTTGAAGAGGAAAACCAATGGAAGTTTTTAATAGCTCAGATAATATTGTGCGTATCGTGAAGCTCAAAACTGCTAATGGAGTTTTCAAAAGGCCAATTCACAAACTTAGTGTTTTGCCTATCAGTGCTAAGTTTTTTTCTCCTAAAGCATTATAACTTTGTACTTTGCTTTAAATATAATTAAGTTCCTGAATTATATCAAGGCTTCTGTGCATCTGTTTTGAGAACAATTTAGTTTCATTTCATAATTTCATATGTTTTCTTGTGAATATTTTAATGACACATTTTTGCATAATTTAGTATTGTTATGAAAATTTCATTTTGTAAAAGGTATTTAGATTTGAAAGGATGTTTCAACGCCGGGTGGAATGTTTCGGCCGCCAGAGTCTGCCTGTCTGTGAGATATCATTTCGCAATGCGCAGATCGTATGCGCAGCTCGCATTTTGTTTTTGCACTCTTGCAAACGCTAATTGTAACTTTCGCTTTATTTTTTGCTGTGTTGTTGTTCTAAATAGCTGAAAATAAAAGTCAAACTACAATCCACAAGCATTGATATATTCCTATGTTTATTAATTTAAATTTAAGATAACGCTACGCTACAATGTAGGTGTTTTCTGGCCTTTTCATGCATTTTATGTCTTATCACATCTATGTTTATCTTGCCTCAGAACAAACATTTATATAATAGTGGTGTATCTTTGTTGCTGCTATGTTATCTTGAGAGAAAACGTGGGACTCAGCTCTGTTGTTGCCATGTAATGAACAAATCAAAATAAAAGTCATTTATCAAGGTTAATTCTGTTATGTGGGTTTTTTAGTACGATAGTAAACATGATCCACATCAAATAAAGTAATCATATTTGCTTTTGCGGATTAATTATGTTTAACTAATCCATAAAACATGATGTTTAATTAATGACGGCATTTCAGTATATCATACTCATTCTTAACTATCGATATTACATATAAAACCCATAATGTCACAGATCATACTTCAGTTCAATTCTCTGTGTGAAAGTTTATTATCAGATTAGTTATAAGATATGCTGCCATCTAAAAGTTTCTCTTCTGTCTGCTGATGGCTTCCCACCAGCATTAAGAAACACTATCTCATAAAATAAAGAGAATTCTACAGAGCCCAGTATCTTTTTGCTGTTGGACTAAAGGCTGTTAATTTTTTCAAGCTGGGTTTCTTGCTCACTGCTTTCATTAATATCCTGAATTCATAATTTTCTAAGTGTTACTGAGTAATCTAAAGATTTTGGTGTTTGTGTTGACTTGTCTGACAAGTGGGATTTCAAAGCTATGATTTTTATCTGTTTCCAAACTTTGGAACATTTTAGAATTTACTTAAAGGCAAAATTGCATCAAATAAAATAAATTTCCTTCCTCTCTGCAGTTTCATTCTCCTATTAAGGCTGTCATGTCAGGCCAGATTTCTAGTTTAACACTCATGAAAATCAGTATACTGTTATACAAAGCATGTATTTTTAGCAAAGTTACTGTTTGCAACATGCAAGCAACCAGTCTAACGTGATTGGGTTGATTACAACTGAAAAGGAAACACTCTTAAGTGCATATTGGTTGGAAGACCATCTGACTGTTATATTTTTGGGTTTAAAAATTTAGCATTCTTTCACAAGATGAAAAATGAATTTCATTTATGAGTTTAAATTTTTTAAGGCAAAATATAATATTAAAGAGCAGCTGGTTTCAAAAAGAAAGTAAAGACTTTAGACTAATACGTTTTCGAGGCTAAAGCCTTTATTTTGAGCTTCAAAGATGAAGTACTTGGAGGCATTTGAAATTATTTTACTCAAAACGTACTGAATTGGGAGTTTTCATCTCCCAATTCAATAAATTTCATTAAATATTTTAATACATTTGCAATCTTTAATATGCATGAAAAAATTTTGCATCATGCACAGGATGCAACTGGATTATTCATCCAGATTTCCAAAAATGACTTGGAAGTTTATCATCTTGTATTGAAAAAAAAAAAAAACTTTCTTTTTCAGTTTATAAATTGTAGGTGGCTAGTTGTAGATAGCTGATATCA